AATGTGAACACAGCAGCAACTGAATGCTACCCCAGATAGTCACGCAGTGTGAAAACTACGGCGATCCGACGAGTTTGAAAATCGTGCAGTGTGAACTCAGCATTAGGCCCAGATTTAAAATGCACAGGCTGTCACTAATTGAGCAGAATGAATCTGAATATTATTCTGTTTGTTTTCTTTTTATTATTCAGAAAACTTCTAGAGGGTGAAGAGTCAAGGTACTCTACAATCTCAGATGCTCATATTTCAGTACCATACATTTACAGACAGTCACCCATCTATACTCTCCCTTGTGTCAAAAGGCAGGGGGGAGCAACTCGAAAGGCAGAGCCTCAGTACAAATTTGTTGAAGAGATTATTACAGAGACAACCAGAGAAGATGTGGAGATATCAGACACTGGCTCTGATAAGAGTGGGGAGGGAAGAGAGGGTGACAAACCAGATGAGGAGAGCAGTGAGAAAGATGCACAGGGTGAAACTCCACAAGAGGCGGAAGAGCCAGGGCTAGGTTATTGTTCGATTAGGACACTTAAATTGCTTTTATAAATGTGCCTTAGGAAAAAAAACAACATCACTGGTGTGCACCTTGAGGCAAACCAATGGCACTGACATATTTTAAGATATGTCAGTGCAAGTTTCTTTCAGTGAATACAGCTCAGACATGCATTTTAGTCTGGGGCTAGGCTTAAGTCTTGTCTGTGAAACCAGGGCATAGTTTCTTATGCCGAGTTCACACTGCATGATTTTAGCCCGATTTTTCAATTGCCAACAGGTTTTGCGAAATCGCCGACAAATGCCCGAAATCGGAGGCAGATCGGTGCTCGTTCACGCGAGTGACAATCACGCAGTGTGAATTATCAAAGACGCGATCTGAGGGAATTGCCGTGAAATATTTGGCATGCGAAATATCTGGAGCTGTCGCCGATTCACGATCATGCTGTGTGAAATGCGTTCTGACTGAAAAACACATCGGCGATGACCTACAGCCAATGAGAGAACAAGATACAGGGCAGCGGGAAGTTCGGGGAGGAGTTATATGAAACGTAGTTTGCGGACCAGTGTTGCCAAATCCGCGAGCGCCGCCGGTTGTTTTTTTATGTCAGCAGGTTGAAGCGACTCCAATAACGTGATATTCAGGTCCTGGAATGTGAATTGTACCAGGAGAACCCCGCCCAAAAAAATGTGTATTTTACTCCCCGAACGCGATTTTTACTGGGGGACCCCCTCGAAAGCAATTGGGCTATTTTCAGGCTAGTTTTGAGTAGTAATTGGGCGAGTTTTGTAGCGAAAACCTGGCAACCCTGCACCAGACAGAGCTGTCGCGATTCTTCCTATTGTGAAGTCATGCAATGTGAAACCCTCTGTCGCCGATCCATCGTGCAATGTGAACACAGCAGCAACTGAATGCTACCCCAGATAGTCACGCAGTGTGAAAACTACGGCGATCCGACGAGTTTGAAAATCGTGCAGTGTGAACTCAGCATTAGGCCCAGATTTAAAATGCACAGGCTGTCACTAATTGAGCAGAATGAATCTGAATATTATTCTGTTTGTTTTCTTTTTATTATTCAGAAAACTTCTAGAGGGTGAAGAGTCAAGGTACTCTACAATCTCAGATGCTCATATTTCAGTACCATACATTTACAGACAGTCACCCATCTATACTCTCCCTTGTGTCAAAAGGCAGGGGGGAGCAACTCGAAAGGCAGAGCCTCAGTACAAATTTGTTGAAGAGATTATTACAGAGACAACCAGAGAAGATGTGGAGATATCAGACACTGGCTCTGATAAGAGTGGGGAGGGAAGAGAGGGTGACAAACCAGATGAGGAGAGCAGTGAGAAAGATGCACAGGGTGAAACTCCACAAGAGGCGGAAGATACTGAAGAACCAGCCATGGAGAACGGCAATGAAGCCAATCCTGAGTTAGAGACAGAGGAAACTGAAGTCAAACCAAGTGATGAAAAAGAAGATGAGCCAGCTGATTCTGAGGTACAAAAAGATGCTGACTCTGAACCAACTCAGGACTATACAGAACAAGCCACTGATGAACAAGATAAAGATGAGGAATTAGATGCAAAAGACACAGCGCACAAAGACCTGAAGAATGACGTGCAGGGAAAAGTAGAAGAACCTGAAGAGGAAAATAAACAAGCTGAAGAGACAGAGAAAGATGTTCCCAAACCAGATCTGTCAGAAAAGCAAGAAATGCCAGAGAAATCAAAAACTGTACCAAAAGACAAACCATCTCAGGAACCGCAAGATCCTGAAGCAACAACTGAAGTAAAACCTAAGCCTGGTGGGGAGACTGTTGGGGTAACTTCTCCAAAAACTGAAGATGCTAAAATCTCATCTCAACAATCTACAACTGCAAAATCAACAGAGAACGAGAAAGAATTAGCTCCAGTGCAACCTGTAGAGGAAGATACTCCTAAACCAGATAAACAAGCAACTCCCGAACATACTGTGAGTGGAAAACATACTACTGAAGAAGACCCTTCTGCAAAAAAAGACAAATCTGATACTGTAAAGGAAGAAACTAAGAAATATGAGCCTATGGGAAAAGGCCAAGAGGATAACAACAAACTAACAGAGAAACCTGTGGGGGAAAAGCAAGAGGCTCAATCAAGTAAAGACGAAAAGGAACATAAACCTGAGGAGTCTGTAAAAGATAGCAACGTTGAACTGGTAGACAACATGAAAACAGAAAAGGGTGAAAGTATCAGGGCTAAAGAACAAGAAAAGACACAAACGGAGCTTTCAAAGGATGCAGAAGAACAATCGCAACCTGAAAAGTCAAAGAAACAGGAGGACAGCAAAAGCAGTAGTAGTCTAGCAAGTGTGACAATAGAAAAGGGTGAAACTGGCAAGCTAAAAGAAACAGAAAAGACACAAGAAGACCTTTCCAAAGTTGCTGAAGAAAAATCACAACCTCAAAAGTCACAGATACCAGAGGACAAAAAAAGTGACAGTGTAAAAACAGAAAAGGCTGAACATGCTAAGCCTAAAGAAACAGAAAAGACAAAAGAAGAACTTTCGAAAGTTGCAGAAGAAAGATCACAACTTGAAAAGTCACAGACACAGGAAGTCCGCAAAAGTGACAGTGTAGACAGCATCAAAACAGAAAAGGTTGAACATGCTAAGCCTAAAGAAACAGAAAAGACACAGGAGGACCTCTCCAAAGATAAGGAAGAAAAATCACCTGAAAAGTCAAAGAAACAGGAGGAGAGCAAAAGCGATAGCAGTTCTGAAAGTGCGACAACAAGCGGAGGGGAAGCTAAAGTCACAGAGAAACAGGTTGATGAAACACTGAGTAATCAACCCCCCAAAGCTCAGGAAATAACATCTGATGCAAAGCCTGAGCAAAAGGATATTAAAAAAAGCAAAGAGGAGATGCCTGAAAAAACTGTAGAGGTGGATAGTGTGACAACCAAAGGCAGTGGAACCAGCAAAGATGTTAAAAGTGAAGAAACTGTCCCAAAAGTCAGCGGTGCACATGAAGTGAAGGCTGCAAAATCTGAGACGCCAACCAAAACAGAAGCTAAAGCTCTGTAGTAGACAGAGCAGGTCAAAGAGAGCAGCAAGCAGGACAACGTGGACATCAAAGGTCCAGAAGAAACAACTAAGCCCTCTAGTGTAATGTAGAATATAAACAGCAGAAAAAATAAATGAGAAAAGAGAATGTTCAAATAGCCCCCTTGACGAATCTAATATAAATTACAATTGCGTGACAGACGATCTCAGTTGAGCATGACTTTTAGAAACTGCTTTCAGGAAGTGTGATGTTTCTGATGCAGATGCATGCGTACACTGTGATCTGCGTGTACATAATGAATGTGAATTATGAGGAATGTATAAGATTTTATTTTGCTACGTCCCTCGCTCTGATCAGCCAAATGTATGTATCAAAACAATGCTACACATTAACTGAATAAATATTGCAGCATATCCATGTTTGACAGTATGTTAATTCAAGAGCTTTTCCTATAGAGGAACTACAGTATTGAGTTTTGAAAACTGTTTGGTAATGCGGGTGTTTCATCCTCTGCTGCTTTTCTACTTGTCTTCGATTGCAACACTTGCTAGCCAGTACTTGCATAAGCTTAAATATTCCCTTGTCAATATGGCAGCGATTCATCTATAAATGATTACAAGGCATTTAATTATTGTATGTGTTTCCTAGGAACTCACTTAAGGTTTCTTCACCCAGAAAAACCCTGCAGCAATTTTTTAAGACATCTCAGTTTTTTTGAGGCAGGGTAAAATATATCATCTTGACGCTTGAGCTGAAGTGATAAAAAACTTGCATCCACTTTACCAAAGCCCGTACCAGTGCTGGATACTGACAGTTCCACAGTTGACAGAGCAGTGGCTGGCAGGTGGTTTTACTTCTGGACCCTTTCACATTGCACATAGTACAGTTCAAATGTTTGCAGTCAGCAGGATCTTTTTAGAAGAACTTAATGCTTTTATTCAGCAAAGACACTTGGTTCAGTTCATGGAGCTCTCTCCTAATGCGCTGATGATCTGAATCAGGTGTGTTACATAAGGGAGACATGCAAAATGTGCTGAGTGGGGGTTTGTCCCCACAACCAGGATTAAGAGCCACTGGTATAGAAATGTACAATGTTACAAAATAATAAATGCTATTCTTTTGAATTTTCTATTAATGTAAAAAAAAAAAAAAAAGTGTATCACAGTCCCCACAAAAATAATAAGCTGCATGACTGATTTCAACATTGATCATATACTAACATACATAAACATACTGGTAAAAAAATGTATAGCCTGAATGCACTGTAAGTCGCTTTGGATAAAAGCGTCGGCTAAATACATAAATTATTATTATTGATCAATTTCTTAGCAGAAAATCAGCATATTAGAATGATTTCTGACACTAAAGACTGGCTGATGGCAATTCTGCCTTGCTATCACAGGAAAAAATAAATGTTAAAAAATATTTAAAGAAATTTATTTTAAATATTTTTACATTACAGTTGTTACTGTTTTTTGGATTTTTTTTAAATGCAGCCTCGGTGAGCATGAGACTTCTTTTTCAAAAACATTACAAAGTCCTACCAACATCAAAATTTTCAATGGTAGTGTAACATGGTGACCCAAGACAGCACCATTTTTAACATATCAAAGTAGACACTCTAATAAAGTAATAATAACAAGAAAAATACTTAATATTACCACTCAGACTCAAAATATTTTGATAACACAATGATCAAGAAAATTGAAAATTTTTGCAAATGCGTAATTAGCAGAAGTGACATTTCCCAGTAACAGTGAACCCACATTAAATGAAAGCTGTCGTATTAAACCATAATAAACAACTTGTCCTTGTTCGCCTAATTACAATATCAACTCTTTTAGACTTAAATAGGTCAGTACAAATGGAAGGATTAAATCAAATGTGAAAACTGACGACCCATTTAGAGTTGAAACAATCATTAAAAATAGAACATAAGCAGCATACCAGACTATTTTTTACCCAACTATGTGACATGAATTCTGTCAATGAAAGATATGAGATGCTTTTCTTCTACCATTTGCGAATAATGTGAATAAGCCTGTTAATTTTGCTGTGTAAGAGTATTTACATTAAGCATAGTTTTTGGGTATAATATATTTCTGAGCTAGACTTTATAGTACGAGAACCAATTTGCTTTGTAAGCAACAAAAAATATCAGATGAATTCAAATAGTTTATTGAAAAGTTCAAACATACACATAAGGACCTCTCGGGTGTTGTGAATGCATGGTCTCAGGGAATTAAGGTCATAATGCAACACGGGGAGCAAAGGGTACTGAACTCAAACCACACCCACAAGACCCGTTCTGCCATCACGGTGTGCCACGGATAGTCGTCTGTGCTGCAAACGAAAACAAAAGGCCAGTCATGCCAGCACAGGAGCACCAGCGTTTATCTCCCCATTAGGCTACCCAAAAACTGCTCAGTTCAAGGGCAGACTTCACATACAACGGTTACTCCGGAAGGCTGCCGAAGGAAAAATAAACTGCTTAAGCTTGTCCTTGCGTGCATGGAAAGAAGAAAACAGTATAACAGTATTTAAATAACAGCAGGTATAACCTTTAATATAGAGTTAAGTGGTTGCTTGAATTGCATTCAGACGACTAAGGAATATCAGATACAATACAAATGATGAAATCAGAGACAGTTTTGTCACAAATCCACCCCAAACCCACCACCGGCTAACTGAGAGGGGAACACAACAGAAAGCCACAGACGCCCTCTGTCCCAGAGAGTACATCATTACTGTGGCAGCGCTGGAGAGAGATGAAGAAATTAATTTGTAGCTGAATGTCTATAAGAGAACAACTACAAATGAAAAACAAACAAGGGCATTAGGAGGTGACAAAAAGAAACATGATCGCTTTTGATGAGCCTTTACACACATCCCATCCCATCTGGAATCCCCCTGCTGGTTGCTGTTGGAGTTAGAGTTAAGGCCAGATTTCTCTGATATTCCCTTGTCCCTGAAGTTAAGCAGGAGCAGGTTTAGGCCTCCAGCTCCAGGCCCAAGCCCAGCTTGTGGCCTCCGGAATTGATGCTCTTTCCATCAACCAGGGCCGACAGGGTCAACTTGATACCTGAAAAACCATCACAAATTTAATCACTGCAGCTTTTACGGCATCTTAACCACATAAATGGGTTGTATTTCTAAACAACCTATTTTATCAGTCTCCAAAGCTGAAGTGAATTATATTGTGTGGTGGACAGGTGATGTTACCAACTATAAACTATTGTAAGATACAAAATAAAAGAAATCAATGCCTTTCACCAATAAATTCTCAAGTGTAAATAATAATACAGGAAACTCATACAGAGAAACTCATCACTGTACCTGGTCTCAGAGTCTGAGTATAACCGACACCGACAAGGCTGGTGTTATTCACTTTAGCCTGTTGAATAGAGAGGAAAATATTGACATAATGCTCACATGCAAAGCCAAATGTAACATTCAAATCACAAACACATTCTGAGTTTTAGGGGCTCAAGTTACTGTGAGTCGATGCTAAACTCAGTGTACAGAATCGATATAAAAGCTGTACCAGAGTATGTCTGCTCTCAGAAAATCTGAGTCGGCTCTGGGGCTTTTGTTTTTTTTGCATTACAATAGCGTTAAACTTTGTCATTGTCAATCAGCACACATCTTTGGCCGTGTAGGAGAGCTATTGATCAACATTTGAGCATGGGATGCATTGTGCCCTCTTACTGTAATGCTTGTGTAAATAGACTTACTTCCTCTAAATATAGATCATGGTGCAAGAAATTGATTGGTTGTTTTGTAAGATGCCATAAAAAAAGGTTACTCAGCCTTTTTTGGGTTTGGCTGGTAAATTTATCACAATGTAAGTGCACCTTACACTGCTATAAAGCAGTGGTTGTCAATTCCGTTCCAGGGGGACCCACTGCTCTGCACATTTTGTACGTATCGCTTATTTAACACAGATCATCAGCTCATTAGGAGAGAGCTCCATGAACTGAACAGAGTGTGTCAAATAAGAGAGAAAATGTGCAAAGCAGTGTACATACCAGTGGTATAAAGGGCACTGCAGATTGATAATATCATTTAATAATTATGATTAAGAACCATTCAAGAATGCATCAGCATACATTAGTGAATCGATTTTTTCCTACACCCTTTATTATTATGGAGAAAGTACATTTAGAAATATGTTATTTTATGGGATCAGATGCAAAAACAAACGGGTGCCTACTTCTGAAACGTATGATTTGTGTAAAAGCAATACGAGTTCACTCACACTGATGGAAGCGTCTTTGTCCAGCTGATACTTGGCAGCAATACCGAAGCGTGTGCTGTTGCTTCCTGCTGTCCAGGCCAGATTCACCGCTGTCTCCAGCTTATCACTCACTTTCTGGTAGATGGAGCCACCAAACTCTGAGCCATCATTACTGCAGGGACAGACAAATCATTAAGACTAGATCATTAGAAAAACAACTTGTCCTTAAATCTCAAATCGATCAATCAATCAAACAGTGGCACATTAACACCTGGATGCTTATACAAATGACTTTTCTCTTGTAATTTTACTGAGATCACTCACAAAGAGCAATTTCTTGAAATATTTTCAAGAACAATCAAAAATGACACATTTAGTGCAGAAATCTCCATAACTTTAAGAATACTTTAATATTTTATTATTTGTCATTATATTTGTAGGCATGAAAAGAAAATCATGATTTTAAAATCCTGTCCAGATTGTCCATGTCCATTTGTCCTATTAATGGAAACGCAATGTGTCATTCAGGGGACAACATGCAGTAAAATTCCTGACGTCTAAGCGAACTAGGTGTACATAAATTCTCACTATATCAACACTTCTCCCCACTAAAATAAATCAGGTCCCAGTCTCATGCACTTAGAATGATGTAGTGATGCTTCAGGACTTACACGTTAGTGTGCAGCTGGAAGTCTCCTGTTTTGTAGCCTACAGCAAAGTTGTTCTGGGTCATCTTGGACTTGGCAGTGTCGAAGGACATCTGGTAACCGGCGAGCCATCCCTCATAGCCGACCACTGCAGCGCCGTGGATGGTTGGACCAGCAAAGTCAAAGTCAACGTCACCGCCCAGGTTGACGTACTCACGCTTGTATGCAGTCTTAACTTTTCCACTCTTTTTACTGTTCATGAGGGAAAATAAACACAATTTAGCATCATATTTAGTGGAATTACATT